CACTTTATGCCTGGTTGGGCTCTAAGTAATTTAAGTGTATTAACTTATGTTCACAACAATCTATGAAATGTTTTCACTTTTTGGATGGCAAAGTCAAGGCAGAGAAAAATCACAATAATTTGCCTAAGCTATATCATACTCACATGTTTTTTTTGCCCACAAAGAAATTAATTAGAACAAGAAAAATTTAACTATTTTGAAATAAATTGATTTACAGTAAATTTGYAAACAGTACAAAGAATTCACACATACCTTCACCTAGATTCTCCAAATGTTAACATTTTACATTTGCTGTACCATTTCCTTTATATATAATTCACTGACTTCTTCTCTYGAGATTCAGGTGCATGTACAATGTTCCATTATCCCTAAATACTGCAGTGTGTATTTCCTAAAGGAAGACTTTTTCTTAAAACAATTATACCAAAATATAATTATCAAAACCTGAAAAATCAATATTGACAGCATGCTTTTTTAACTTACAGATTTTACTCAATTTTCACCAATTGTTTTAAAAATGCCCCATTGAACAAAAGCTGAAAAAATTTCATCTGGATCAGAATTCACTCCAGGATATGTGTTRCATTTCGTTGTCCCATCTCTTTAGTCTCATTTAACTTTAAACTTYTGACAAGCAGCGACTGCTAACTCCGAGAGCATTCCTTGATTTAGCTTTATCTGGTATTTCTTACTGACTAGGTTCAGGTCATGTATTTTGGTCAGGAAGAGCACATCAGTGCTTCGTGTCTCCAGGGCATCTCATCAGGACACATAAACACACACTGTCTTACTAATGGTAATATTAACATTTGTTTTTGTAAAAATATTTTTCAGTAGYTATAGATGGAYACAATACCTTTATTTTATTTATTTATCCTATGTGGTGCTCAGGATTGAACTCAGGGCCTCATACGTGCTAGGCAAACAAACACTCTACCACTGAGCCAAAACCCCAGCCCAACGTTTGGTTCTTAAAAAAAAAAAAATTATATATATATCTCCATAAGTTTTGCACACTTAAAACACATTTTTAAATAATTCATAGGTCAGAGGAATCATCATGTTCATATTAGCAACTGAAAAACAATAAAAATGTGTGTGTATCTGTGTATATACATTCATTTATATTCACACACATAATTGTGAGATGTAGCAAAGGAGATAATTCAAATACATTTAGATACTTATTCAAGAAAAAAAATTGAACATGAATGAGTTAAATATCTAACTAATGAAATAAAAAAAAAACAAACAGAATAAACTATCAACAAGCAGCATATGAAAGAGAAGGGCAGAGAATTAATCAAGTCAAAATTTCATTCTTAAAAAAATTAATAAAATGGACAAACTTCTGGCCAATGGTCAAGAAAAAGAAAGACGACACAAATATCAGAAAAGAAAATATTAAGTACATATTCAGTGAAGTTTAAATAAGACWTTTATTTCCCTGAGCTACTTTATGCTAATACATTTATGTGTGTGCAATAAGTGATTACTTAGAATATTTTTCAAAATTGATTCAAGAAAAATTAGAAATYCTGAATAGTCTAATTATCATTAAAGAAACTCTCAGTAGTTAAAAGTCTCCTCACTAATAAATACTAGGACCAGATAGTTTTAGAAACTTTCAAAGAATAGGTCGTTCCATTTTTTTATAATTCTCAGAGTACAGTAAAATAGGCCATGCTTCCCARATTATGTAATGAAATAATTATAATCTTGATAATAAAACCAGACCAAAAAATGAGAAAGTTTCACAAATCTATTTACACAAACCCAAGTAAAATACTAGCAAACTAAATTTAGCCATGCATAAAGATAATGGAATATGTTCAAGAATGTAAAACTGCTTCATTATTAAATGGTTATAACTAAAATATACCATGAAACAAAATGCTCAGGAAACATATCACTTAGTGTGTATGTCAGTGTGTGGGCTGGAAACACAGATATACCTCTCTCCTTGGACATCTGCACTAGCTGGTTTGACTGAAAGGTTTCCCCAGGTGGCTGAATTCATGGCCACCACAAACAAGGCTTCTACCTGTCTCATCCACACTGCTTCCCCATCTTCCTTACCCTGCTTCATTTTCCCCCGTAGTAGCACACATAGTACTCAAAAAATTTTACGAACAGTACATCTAGAAACTTTTGTAATGTGGAAGTTAAGCTTGCTTATATCCTCTCGGGATGGCCATTTGTATTATYCATTTGGTTTACGATTTAATGACACGGAGAATGGACATAGTTGTAATACACCATTCACATTAAAAATTATTTGTGTCCATGCTAAATACAATATTATATTTCTAGATGCCTCCAAATATATCTCAGTAGAAAAAAAAGAATTATATTTCTATGTTAGTAAGCTTTACAATACTATGACAAAATGTTTAACAAAAACAAAAGAGGAAGAATTTATTTTGGCTCATGGTTTCAGAGGTTTCACTTCATAGTTGGCTAGTTCCATTGCTTTGGGACTGAAGTGAGGCAGATAGCTAGGTGAGGGCACTGGGTGAGGGTGGAGGAAAGCTGCTTACCTCATGGTAGCTAGAAAGCAGAGAAAGAGACAAGACAGAGTCTCCAAGGGCATGCCTTCAAGGATTCACTCCCTCCAATGAGGCTTCACCTCCTATAGTTTCCACCACGTTCCAAAAGTCCTTTCAGCTAGGCATCCCTCAATGGGCTAATTCACTGATGAGGTCACAGTCATCACAATCCAATCCTTTTCCCCAAACCCCACTCTGAACACTGTTGCATTAGGGACCAAGCCTTCAACATATGCATCTTTGGGGGGGGGGGTGACACACTTCATATTCAAATGTAACAACTTTCAATGAAGGAATTTAAATTGTCCATACTTACATGTTTTGCACAATGAAATGAGCAGTACAAATATGCTAAAGATATTAGAATACCACAAAGTAAAAATTTCTAAACTAAATTGTTTCCAACATACTGAAAAGCTTCAATCATTTGCTTTCACACTGGTAAACTACAGAGTAAAGTAACAGAATGCAGGACCACTGAAATCTCAGCTTACTTCTGGTGTCAATGGAGATAAGAAATTATAGTACTAAAGCTCATTTCATTCCTAGAAAATAATATCACAGTAAATCTTTTACACATTGAATCATATTCGGATTAACATTCACTATATAAAGTTCAGTTCTATTATTACATTTCAATGAAATAAGTAGCAAATGAGAACTTATAATTCATCTTTTTAGGGCAAGACCATTTGAGAAAATGGAAGACTAACAATATCACTTCACAGTTATTTATTCCAAGTGCTTGTGGGACTCACATTAGGGCAATCAGAATTGTACAAACCTTTGTTTTAAGACACTTTCTCTAATGCCAATTGAGATATATTTTGCATGTCTGTGCAAACTATTTTCTAACTGGGATAACAGAAGAAGCATTTTGTATCTTGCAGTATACTGGTCTTGCCAACCAATTCCTCATGTATTTACCCCCAGGTCCTATCTTCCACCTTTCCACAAAAACAACCATGCCAATCAACCAATGTGTGAAAGCATATAAAATACTGTCCAGGTCATTGTGGTGTCACTATCTCTGTAATAAGAGGAGAGAGGGGAAAAAGGCAAAGAATGTGTTTTAAATTGAATAMAGCTACATTTATTTAAGTGACTATCCTTTATTCTTGTATTATRTTCTTCCTACTTTTTGAGTGCTAAAATACCTTTTCTTTTCCATGATGATTCTGATATAATATGGTAATTTTTTAATATTTATTTTTTAGTTGTAGTTGCACACAATACTTTTATTCTGTTTATTTATTTTTATGTGGTGCTGAGGATTGAACCCAGGACCTTGCGTGTGCTAGGTGAGTGCTCTACCTCTGAGCCACAACCCCAGCCCAGAAGATGGTAATTTGTGTGTGTGTGTGTGTGTGTTTTCCTTCTTTTTAAGTCCTGAACTGGCAAAATTAATAGCCAGAAACACTTAACCCAACTTAATTTTTTTTCTTTTCTTTTTACAAATTTACTGGTGCTTAAAACTAGGAGACACAGCCTAGATAAAGGCCCACCTTTCTGTGCTGCGTATTTCATAGTATTGAATTCTTCCTCAGTGATATCCCTATAGATTTTGAAGCAGGATAAAAGTCAGTCTTATGTAAGCCAACATAAACATGATCTTAAGTTTCTAGAACAAAAAAAATATGCTTTCATTCAACCCATGGTTATATCACCTTTTATTAAAGCTAATTGTATCAGTACTGTAGGGTTCCAATTTAAGAAGTACAATGCCATTTCCATGRTAGCCATTATTATTTAAGTAGTCTGTTTTCATACATGTGAGCAATATTGGTGCAAAGCGAAAACAAAGAAGGCTGGGGTCTGTGCAGGTCCTGAGTTGGGGTGTCAGTGGTACCATAGGGATGGTCAGCCTCAATGTACATTTTGGTCCATTTATCTTTTTTTTTTAATATACCTTTATTTTTTTAAACTTCGTTTTTAAAAAAAACTTATTTTGTATTAGTTCTGATCAGTTCTACATGACAGCAGAAAGCTTTTCGATTCATTGTACGCTATTTAGTTTTTTTAATGTGGTGCTGGGGATCGAACCCAGGGACTCATGCGTACTAGGCAAGCACTCTACCACTGAGCCACAACCCCAGCCTTGGTCCACTTATCTTTATAATTCAATCATACTGCACAGTTTCAGTATTTACATTTGTGTAAACTGAGAAGAAATAACATGTTATAATAAAGCTTATTTTAGTGGGCTTTAC